TATATATATATATGTTTGTGTGTGTGTGTTGTAAAAATATATTAAATTTTTATAATATTTAAATGATAATGACTCTGACTCTCAACATCCAATAAAGTGAGTCTAATTTGGACATGAATAGACCTATTTGAATCTTATGGACCAATCAAACATGCCCGCTTATCTCATTTTGTAATCAAATGTCATTTGGCTAGTGTCGGTGATCATCGAGGCAAACCAAGCATATACTACATGGTTTGCGCTTGCGGTCAATTGTGTTTGTCTTGCTCGCTTCTTTCGATTATGAAAGATCCCTTCAGAAGTAATTTGTATGTTCTGAACGTAACGATGAAGTTTGTTTTGCATACGGACGTTGTTTCATATGAATTCGAGCATGATCGAGGCATTTTGACTTTGATATATGTGACGCTACATTCGTCTTGTGTTATCTTCGTCATTGTTGATCAATTTAACTTATGAAACATATATAGAGGCCAACATCATTAGATTGATTAAAAATGTAGTTTAATATTTGAATTCTATTTGGTTTGGAACTTTTATGAGTAAGAAGTTCAAACTTAAATGCGGTGGTTATTTTAGATTTTGTGGAAATTTATGGGCTTGTTGAAGAGTTTACTAAGATAAGGTATTGGGAGCTGGAAGGCGAAGAAGAGCTGGTTTACTAAAACCACGGGATTGGTGGAGTGGATTAAAGCATAGAGAAAGAATGAAGATTATGGGTAAAGAAATAATATGCAATTGAATCGATTAGTTGGAAGAAATATAAAAAATAATTTGAAAATCTTGAAGAAATTAATGAACCCTAATTAAGATTCTAACACTTTTTAGTTATCAATCAGGCATGCTAAGTTTTCATTTAATGGAAGAGTAAGATGGTATAATGAGTTGCTCAATTTAAATGAAATTTGTCTACATGCTTGATTTTGCATTTGGAATTTGAATGATAAATGCTGGAAGTGCGAAGAAGAGCTGGTTTTGATTTTCTTTGCTCGATGTCTTAGGAAATCACCATAGAATTTTATGAATATTGGTTAATAACTATTCCTCATATGATATATGAGGCAAAATGGTTCAGATTTTTACTTAATAAGGACCAAAATGTTCAAAATTTAATTTTTGAGGTTTGATGAATTTGATGAAATTCTATGAACAGGGGGATGAATTTTTATCTGCAAAAATGGGCATCTTATTTTTGTTTCATGTTAAATAAACTTTAGTCATTTTTTTGTTATTACTTTTTTGTTTATTTTGCAAACTATTACTACCCTTCTTAATGTTATTGATTACCATTCTACTGTTTTTGACTAATCTTTCTGATAAATATTTATTTACTTACAATTTTAACAGGACCCTTACTTCAGAATGACTAGAGATGTTGCTCCTAGGATAGGCTATCAGAAGCCTGCTTTAATTGAGTCATCGTTTTTCCCTGCCCTTCAGGTACTTAGGTTATTCCATATATATGGTCTAGGGGCATTTACATATATAGTGCACAATTCTTATGTATTTACATATCTCGCACCTATCCTTTCATATTTATCCACATAATGCTCAAATATTTAATCACATAAAAAATAGCACTATAATAACTTTTTAAACAGTTAAATACACATTTGCTTTGATAGGTTTAAAGCGCCAAAGTAGTATATACGGAAATATTAAAGTTTAGGATTGAGATATGCAAATACATAAATTTTCTGTGCTATGTATGTAAATTTCTCTCTTTTTTCTGTTCTGATGCACATAGATCTTACCGCCCCAGTATTTTTTTTTTTTTTAAATCAGCTGAAATGGGTAGAAATGTTTCTATACAGACAATTTTGTTACACATTTGATCATTTTCCTTAAAATTGGCACTCTACCTTCCAATTTTTGACTCTTGATGAAATACAGTTTTCAATATGGCATGTAGATGATGGAATGTCAACTAAACATAAGAATACATTATAGGCAGTAGGGTGCTATCTAATTGTAATCGGTTCACTACGTTTTTGTTTCTTTATTTCTAAACTCATCTTCTGTGAACCTTTCGTTCTTTGTTCATGATTTTTTTACTTTCCATGATAATCATTGCTAGCAGTATAAGCTGTTCTGTATATTTTCTGAATTCTGAATTCTTGCAGGGGGAGACCGGAAAGATGTCTGCTAGTGATCCAAATTCTGCAATTTATGTTACTGACTCGCCCAAAGTCATTAAAAACAAGGTTTCTTTTCTCTCTTTGTAGCTTTTAAGTGTGATCTTTTTCTACGCTTCATAAGCTTATTTATTACTTTAGGTGTGATACATTTACCAAGGAAACTTAATAAGCTGAGTTTGTACTGCACTATGAATTCATATACAAGGATAAAGCATGTTCTGTTAATTTTGCAAAATTATGAAATTTGTAATATTGATGTAATTACACTGTTTAGGTGAATCGTTATGCATTTTCTGGTGGACAAGACTCTATAGAGAACCACAGGAAGTATGGTGCGAATCTGGAGGTATGGTGCCATGTACTTTTGATTTGTAAATGGAAATTTTTTTTTTGCCTCCTAATAGTATTTATTCTATAAAATTGCATCTTGAACAACTGATGTGTAGGAATAATTGAGTAGGTTCATTTTTGGTAATACCTTACGGCTGACTATAATTTGTTAGGGTGAGAATGATGATGGTGGTTTATCTTACGATTTCTTACTGTTTCAAATCTTGAAAGAGCTTGCTCTTTCTCTTCTATATAGTTGTCTTAGCTAGCTTATTGATAGGACTTGATAGGATTTTTTGTAATACTTTGTGTTCTTTTGTGTAAGTTGATTTTATATTGACCACAAGAATGTGAAGTGTTTTTGTTTGACAATATTGAAGTCGAGTATCATTGTTTTTCCAGTTTTGTATTTTAGTCAATTTATCTTTTTGTCATCATTCCAAGCCTTGAAAGTTCATTTAAAACCTGTCAAAGGTTAAAATGTGAAAGATTGATAACATTTCTTAGAATAAGAGCCACCAACATAGGCGGTGTCCTCAAACACTATTTATGCTACAAAGGAAAAATTAATATTCATTTTAGTAGATGACAAACACCTATCACAAGGGTTTAGGATAAAATGTTTCTTCTTAAGAACACCAATCAATATTGTAATGATTTTCAAATCAAATTAAGCTTTTTGAAGGTTGGGTTTCTAATATTGTTTATATCCAAGTAGGATCAATCGTGATTCTGCAATGATACACTTGCAATACTAGAAACTCGTTAAAAATGCTGCGATTTATAGGGATATATTTCTTTGATTTTAGTGGTAAAATTGCTTGAAGAAACAATTCTCAACTTACTGAAGGTGATTCTCCCTTTTACAAGACTATTTTCAAGACCAAGTTATCGGCACAACCTTCTATTTGATTATGGACAAACATATCAAGAGGTTAGGTCGTGGCTTGCTGATATTTGAAAATTAACATTTTTTAGGCTTGAGGAGTATGACCCTGCAGTTATAAATCCCAAGAAGAGTTCAACATGCTAGCATCATTCTATTATTGTTGTTACCACATAATATTTCATTGGATAAAAAAGATTGCATGAAAAGAGACGATATCAATCATGAGTTCTGATACAGGCAACTGGAACTCATCTTTGGGTTATATCTCATTCAAATCTCTAAAGTCGACACGTGAGCGAATTTGACCATTATTTTTCTTAGTTGATCGTACACTAGCTAGCCAATAATGATACTTATCTTCTCAAACAAAATCAGTGTCGATCAGTTTTTTATTACTTGATGCTCAATTTCAGGCATAGGCATCAAGAAGCTTGTTTCGTAAAATAGTACATAGGTTATATTTTGAGTTTGGAGACTGTCATTTTTGGGACAATCCTGACTTGTAGTTGGGACTTATATGACAAATTCATAAGTTTAAAAGAAAACCTGTGTTGTTGGTTTCATTTTCATTTAAAAGTGAAAATTACAGTGACAAACTAAGGATTGCATTCTTTCATGAGTTGATTCCTTTCTTTTAGCTCATTTTACGGTCAATCTATTTATTTTTTTTTATTTTTCTATGGATTTTGATGGAGTTCAAATTTGAGCTTGAAATTGACTTCAAAAATCTAAGTGAAAAAAAGGACAATGATGAACTTTTGGAAATTTATTGGAACTGTGGGGTGATTTCAACTTCCAACTTTGCGACAAGGTTTGAAGTTGGTGATGTTGGAGCAAAAATTGTCATATTGGATAATTCTTTTGAATAATGATAATTTAGACTCAAACATTTGTCATTCTTAGGACTGCCTTATTGTCATCTATCTATAAAGATATATTTATCATTTTATGATCAATGGATTGATTAAGTCAATTTTTTTCTGATCTTTTTCTTACTCCTTTTTTTTTTCTTTTCTTTTCTTTTTTTTTTTCGCACTTTTTATGTCTGAAGAAGACTTTTAATTTCAAGGCCATTTCAAATGGATTTTTTTAAGTTAAAATAAACTCCAATTTGGTTTGATATGTTGATGGATCAGCTTGAATCAACAAGAATTCTAAATGGCTTGAGTGAATCACATTGCAGAAATTTAAAAGTGGGCAAATAGATTAGCTATCACAAAGGAGAAAATCTTTGTCAAAGGAGTGAGATTTTAAGATTTTTTTCTTTTTAAAGATAAGGTTGCCTCCTTTTATGGGCTAAGTCATTATATTTGACCTTAGCCATCTACGAACATGCCCCGTAGAGGAACATTTTGTAATGACGCAGATTTTCTGTTAAAACCAAATAACCTTATTTTACATTTTTGCTTTTTTGCTTAGGTAATAAAAGACAAGTTGCCATGATGAAGTTTGACTTCTATAATTTCCTCGAAAGAGGAGATTGTGGCACATCTATTCAAATTTAGTAGTACTTGAAGCTTTTCCTCTTAAATTATCAAAATTAGTAAATTCTAACTCTATCAAGAAAGGCCCGCCCACCATAAACATTTAAGACAGGGACATCCTTGTTTGAAAAGAATTATTAGATTCATTAGAATTGAATGGATATACTCTGATATATGTAGGGTTTACACCATCTCACACTTATTTCTTCTCTCCCAAAATCGTCTTCAGAAATTCATAGATTAACTTGTAAAATAAGTATTTAAGCTTACTGTAGACATTTATAGAGAGGTTTCAAACTCCATCTTGGATATTCCAGGTGGTTGCTTTTATTTGAAGGAATAATCTAGCCAATCACAAGATAAAAGGACTATAGAACAAAGATTTAGTTCATTAATACTTGATAACAATTTTGTCTTTTAAAAAATAAAAGGATTTTCATCGATTGTATTGTAATTGTCAAAGTCTTAGTTATGTTTAATGACAGTCATTAACAAGGTGAGCTTGATTCAAAGATTGAATTCAAACTGGTTCGTAGGAAGAACTAAATTTTACAAAAGATATCTTTTTGTTATTAATGTCAGCAGCAGCTCAATTTAGAGTTTTATGATTTTCTGGATTAAAAAATTTAACTCCTATCTTAATAATTAAGTTGCATTATAAAGTGAACGTATAAGTACAAGTGTCAAGATATGAATAAATTTGTGGGTGGTTTCTGTCATTTCAATTGCTTTGCATCTTTGATTTGGATTAAGGCCAGCTTCATCAAATTTAGGTATGCCAAAGCGGGTTTCAATCATAGAACCTTGATTCTGAGAATTGAGTCAAATAAATATGAATTTAATATGTGATTCAAAATTCTGAGAATTGAGTCAAATAAATATTAATTTATATGTGATTCAAAATTCTTGAGTATTGATTCTAGAACCTAGAAAATTAAATTTGGGTTTGACTATAGGTTTGCAGAATCAAAGGCTTGGACCGTGTCCGACCACTTAACTTGTGTTATAGGGTAGACCCATCAGAGGGTTGGTATGGGAGGGGATCCACTAAAAGAATCTTCCTGATTTGAGTTTGAATCCAACTATCAAATTTAGGTATGGCAATTGAAGAATAGATTTGAGCTCAAATCTGTCAAATTTGGGTATGACATGGGAGTTCAAATCAGGAGAAATTCTAAATTTGGTATTTTGAATTTTAATTTGTGAAAACTTAAAGATTTTAATTTTGAATTTTGAATTTTAAGTAAAATTTTGGACTTCTGGATTTAAATATAGGGATTGGTGAGGACCCAGCCCTAGTTATTATTATTTTATTATTCATTAGAGAAATATTTTGATTATTGGAGAATTTTAAAGGATTCATTTTAAATTTTTAAAGGAGAATTATGATTTAATTTATTTTTAGATGTTTACTTTGTGGTATTTTAGTTTAAGTAGTTTAAATTTAATTTAGGAGGATTGTTTTTAGTATAGGTTATAAATTCACTCAACAAACGATCGAACATTAAGGAGTCCTTCCCTAGGCTATTGGGGGTTAAATTTTATATTTTAAGAGATTTTAGAACCTGGCAATTAAGGAATGTTAAATAAAACTTTCTAGAACCGAAGGATCTGAGATATTGACTATACTTATCCCAGAGTGAAATGGGCAAGATAAACAACGGAAGAAAGGTGGTTTGGCCTATAAATAGACAGACACACTACCTATGTATGAAGACAAAACCATTAACTAAAGATGTAGAGAGTTTTCCCTAGCGGAGTCACGAGAAAAATCTAAGTTAAAAATCAACTACTTAAAGACTTGAATCTATTTTCAAACTGAAGGTTGCATAAGGTCAATTTCAAACCCAAATGGAACTTAATTTGAACCCCAACATGAACTTAAATCAAATTAATCTAATCCTAATGATTACTTGCATATGTTAAGACACATTATAAAATAAGACCAGACCTGAGTTAAAGATTATTTTAGGATAAATAATGTTGATGCACTGATACGATCGACTTCAAAATTGACACACTTTTCTACAGAAATTAGGGCAAACACCAATTTTTATTGCACAAATCCAAATAGCACAACAAGAATATAAAGATAAACACCTACAATTCTAGTGGTAGGCAATCTTTCCCAATTCCTACAATTCGAGAGGTAGGAAATCTCTTCAAAATCCTAAACCTAAGACTCATCACTCAATCTCATAGATAAACCTAATCCTAGACATAATAAGACCATGTATACCCAACAAAAATAATAATAAAAGCTAACTTTCTCTTAGGCGTACACAAGCAAATTACCCCAAGAATTTGTTGTTTTGAATGCTGACCCATCTAACATTTGAATGAAATTATGTTTTCGAATAATCGAATCCATCATAAAGTGGTTCTTATATCTTTCGAGATTATATATTACCTTTGATGTCATATTTGATTATTCAAACTCAAATCAGGCTATCAATCATGCTTTGTTTTTTTTTAATAATATGATTGCTTATTCTTTTAAAATGCATGAACATTAATCTCGTTAAAGATATGTTTATATGTTCAAGCATGAGCATGAGATGCCTTTGAGATCTGATATGCAGTGGAAACAAATCAAACTCGATCCACCAAATGTCGATCTGAACTCAAAGCATTGGCTCGACTAAATTTATTGTCATACGAGCAAGACTTTTCATGTTAAAATAATCCGAGTTCATATCAATTTGATATTTTTATGGAAGATTTATAAGCATACCACTTAATTGCTATGCATTTACATATCTACCACCTAAAGTTCACTTTTAATGTTAAAATAGTGGCATTTTCAATGTGATATGAAAGATTTGGGTGGTATAAATGTAAAAGTCAAACTATGGGTGTTAGATATGTAAATTCATAAGAATTAGGTGGTATGTAGGTAAACGCCCCTATTTTTATGTATGATGGCCTGAGATTTGAAAAATGTTCAAGCTCTCTACATAAGAATGGCCTGAAATATCATGTTGAAATATTATACTGATTGATTTGTCCTTTTCTACTAATTAATTTGTATAGGTGGACATTCCTGTCAAGTACCTTGGTTTCTTTCTTGAAGATGATGATGAGCTCGAGCACATAAAGAAGGTAACTTTAAGGAATGAATACAGGCCAACAGAAACATTGATATTTTCAAATTAACCACCCATGTGACGTGATTTTTTTGAAATAGTAAACCGCGGTATTTACTCAGTGCCACAATCAAACTATTGAAAATTTGATGAAAATGTAAAATATGGGATAAGGCTTTACCATGAATTTTGATATTTAGAGTGAGAAATTGAAAAATGGATCAAAGAGGGTGATTGATTTGTAAGTAGTAAGTTTCGGGTGGTTTATATGTAATTGCGCCCCCCACCCTTTATTGTCTATTTATTCATTGGTTTGGTTTGGAATAGGAATATGGTGCAGGCCGGTTGTTGACCGGCGAGGTGAAGAAGCGTCTTATTGAAGTTCTTTCAGAGATAGTTGAGAGACATCAAAAAGCTCGTGCTTTAGTGACAGACGAGGTATTTTATCCTTATATATATATATCTTATTGTTAATATTTTTATGTTTTTTATACACTAAAAGGTTTATGTCATCTATATATGGTAATTGTTACTTCTTTCAATGATGATATTTTCAGCTTTATTTTTCGAGCTAATTACTTCTTTCATAGATGATATTTTCAACTTTATTTTTCGAGCTAATGATTTTCATCTTGTATATAGATGGTGGATGCATTCATGGCTGTGAGGCCTCTTCCTCACATGTTCAGCTAAAGATGGTTTCACTTTGAATTATCCCTCACTCAATTTGCTGTGTGAAATAAGTGAGCAGATGTGCAATGATTTTTTAGGCATTTATATTTAAATTTTATGTATCACATATAAATTGGCTGTGGAAATATATATTTTATAAGGGTTTACTAATTTATACCTTTATCTATTTATTTTTTTCTCTTGGAAATTCAGTTGAACCAATTTATGTCATGTCTTTGATGGGCTAATACTCACTGGTATTGTTTGTTTGGACTAATGTACACTTTGTGCCCTTCCCCATATATTGTTCTGTTTATGTAACTACAATTGTTATTTATTTACAGCCATACAACACATTTCTCATGCACAGATTTTTTAATACAAGGGTGTTATGGATGCAGAATATTAAACTATAGGTGTTTAAGATAACTCATGTCTTTTCAAATGATCAATACAAATTAAACACTTAGTAAGATTAATCATAATTACCGATTAAATAAATAATAAATTATATGGGCCACTAAAATAGAAAAAAGGAATATGCAATTTAGATCAAAGCACCTTATTACTTTACTCATAAAAATTAAATAACATATTTACATTGACCCAGCTTCACTCCAGACCTACAGACAAATGACTTCATACTCTTTACCCAAGCAAAGATATTAGAAATACAAATAACTGGCTACTACTAATAGTACGGTGATGTAATTCCAAATCTGTTATAAATTTAACGAGCAAAAATGTCAAACTAGCCTCCTGGCTTTTTACAGGTGGTCATTTTAATCAAAATTTGTTAATTTAGTCCCTAAACACTTTTAATATGAGCTGAAGTGGTTCCGACCGATAACCATTCCAACCCAAAATTAAAAAAAAAATATGGGAACTAAATTAACACTTATAGATTCTGGGACTTATAGATTCTGGGACTGAAATGAACTTATGTAAACAGCTAAGAGACTGTTTGGGCATTTCACTCAAATTTAACATAATGATCATTTTGCCCTTATTTTTAAACTATAGCTGAAAGCAAAGGCAGTGGCGAAATGGTCATTTACCTAATTTTCCAAACAGATTTTGGACCGTCCATCAAGGCCCCCATTCCCTGATTATAAATCTGCGTGAGCTGGAAGCTTTGCTGATGCCTCGCAAACCTCGCTCTTCGCAAACCTGCCCCGCACACGAGGCTGGCTGTCAGCTAACGCTTTTCTGCATGCATACTGCAAGTTCACTAATGTGAGAATATTTCAACGGACAATAAAAATAATGCAGAGGTCTAAGATGCTTTTGGGGGATCTACAGATATCAGACTCAAAATGTTAGAGAAATGATATGTTTGACACCTAAATTTTATTGTTTACATCATCGAGCAATCGGTTAACTCAATTAAGATCTGGTTCGACACTTGATGAAAGAGGCTGACCAGAATCAAAACACTTGTTGGATAGAAAAGGCTGAGTAGGATCAGATACTTGTCGTACACTTGCTGGAGGAGATTAACAATGATGATCATGAAGAGGCCAATCAGGATGGAATGTTAGTTGAACATTCATTCGAAAAAGACCAACTTTTGCAGCTACTAAGGTCAGGTGGGCCAGAGAAAGAAAGGGTTTGGCTAGATACTATTTTTGATATTATTTTAATGTTTTGTGTGTTATATATGTAAATGTTAAATTTTAAAAGCAAAATATAAACATCTTAAAATTTTTCAAACTATGTATGCAAATCTTCCCATCTAATTTCCGTGCAAGTAAGAAACATATATATATATATATATATA